AACACAAACGAACGCAAAAAAAAAAACAAAAAAAAAACGAAAAAACAAACATAACACTCATAACATAAACACAATTTAAATGTAATCATTAAGGCATATTGCTCACAGTCTAGCCCGTAGCGCCAAATTGCGCCCTTTCCGGTGATTTGCACCCCCTCAAACTTTCGATTTGCACCCCTCCCCCCCCCCCCGCCCTAAAACTTTCGATTTCCACCACACCCCCCCCTCGCAAATTTTTTCCACCCGACTTTGGCGCCCCCTAAGGTCGGCACCCGGGGACATATGCCCCCCTCCCTCCATACGCCTCTCCTATAAAACCCGAAAGATAGAATAATAATTAGAAAACAGTATAAATAATAGTCAGTATCTATAATATATATATACAATATTTCACTTTATCCATTCATGCAATTTATTTCCAGCACTTTAAATTTTAAAAATTTACAATAGAGTTTCATAACTAAAACCATTGCGCACCTGATGAACGTGATGACGCGTCTATAATAGTGCTGAATAGTTGATTCAAAATTATAAGTAATAAACAGTAGGGCCTACATTCAGTGAATAAAATAAATAAAAGATTGCCTTTTATCAATCCATGCTAATTATAATTTTCTAACAACAATTTACTCTTACACATCCGGATAATTTGCATTCACATTTTGCTAATTATATTATTGCAACACTAATTCCTTCTATGACGACCGTATATTTGCATTCACATTTTTTTATTAGCGTGAGTTTAATGTATTTTTAAATTACCTCTTTTGTCAAAATTAGAAAAAAAGAGTTATATTAATTTGATTTTTCTACCGTACTGTTATTATGTTATTGAAATGTATCCATTTTTTTCTGGGAATATAAACGAAAATGATATTTGACATTGATACTTTTAATATGTTTAGCCGTGTGTGTATATTTAATATTTTCTTTAAGTTATGCAAAATTGTACAAACAGTGGAAATTATAAAATAGCTCTATGCCGCTATATAAACAAACCCTACTCTAATACTTATAATAAGACACTGCGGTGCACTGAAAAGCACAGCATGGTGCGAAGTTTACTTTTATAGTCTCAAAATCTATAGCGATGACGGAAGGACTGACACACTACCTAGCCGCTTATATTGTAGATACTAGCTGCATCCCGTGCTCCGCCACGGTAAATCTTTTTTAAATGTACCAACTTTGGAAAAGAACAAAACAAACAAAAACAACACAAACACAAAAAACACAACCACAAACACAACACAACCACAACACAACCACAACACAACCACAACACAACCACAACCACAACACAACCACAACACAACCACAACACAACCACAACACAACCACAACACAACCACAACACAACCACAACAAAACCACAACACAACCACAACACAACCACAACAAAACTACAACACAACCAAAATACAACCACAACACAACCACAACCACAACACAACCACAACAAAACTACAACACAACCACAACACAACCACAACTTCAACACAACCACAACACAGCCACAACACAACCACAACACAACCACAACACAACCACAACTACAACACAACCACAACCACAACAAAAACACAACCACAACACAGCCACAACGCAACCACAAAACAACCACAACACAACCAAAAATCAACCACAACACAACCACAACACAACCACAACACAACCAAAAAACAACCACAACACAACCAAAAAACAACCACAACACAACCACAACACAACCAAAAAAAACAACAACACAACCACAACATTAGAATCACCACCAAACAACACGCTTTTTTAGGCGTCCGCGCCCAAAGACAGCCTTTCCAACATTAAAAATTTAAGTCACATAAATAGATCCTACTCCATAACTTACAATAAAACAATGCGATGCAAATGAATGTACGGCAAGTGGTGTTTACTTTTATGGTTCTAAGAAAACACATTGGCAATGTAATTAGAATTACCACCGAAAAACACGCTTTTCCCAGGCGTCCGCGCCTAGAGAGAGTCTTTCCAGCATTCTCTATACTATAATTATAAAATTTCACCATCTGTTAACACCAAAAAACAAAAACAAAAAATAGTGATTTTGAGAAATGATAGACTAATTAGAAAATAGTATAAATAATCTTAACATTTTTCTCTTTTAATTATGAACCTTAACATGTAATAATCAATGCGGTAGTAATAAAAAAAAAATTAACTTAGATATTGATGAGTTAAATATATTTTTAAATTACCTCCCTTGCAAAAAAATTACCAAACAAAAGTTGAATTAATTAGTTTTTTCGACCTACTTTCATGAAAATATATCCATTTTTTCTAAGAATATAAACGAAAATGATATTTAACATTGATTTTTTAAGTATGTTTTAGCCATTTTCGTGTATTTAATATTTTCTTTAAGTTATGCAAAAGAGTAAACACAGTGGCAATTATAAAATAGCGCTATGAGGCTATATAAACAAACCCTACTCTACTACTTATAATAAGACACTGCGGTGCACTGAAAAGCACAGCATGGTGCGTAGTTTACTTTTATAGTCCCAAAATCTATAGCGATGACGGACGGAAGGAAGGAAGGACACGCTCAGCCCGCTTATATTATAGATATATATATATATATATATATATATATATATATAATATATATATATATTGAGAGAGAGAGAGAGAGAGAGAGAGAGTTATTCCTGTCTGTAAATAACGCCCCCTCACATTTCTATATATAGTTATTTCTCTCTGTGAAAAATGAATCCTTCCATCTCCAAATTCGGAAAGGTTTGTAGCGCTTCTTACCAGTTACTATTCCGTAACCTTGTCTATTTCCGTGCCATAAAATTAATATAGAAAACCTTTACATCAGTGTGTAAAATCTTGTTGTCCTTTATTTTTGTTACTTTAACTGTGAATAACTCAATACTTCAGCTTGAAACGAGTTGTTAATTTTATTTGTCTACCCCTTTTGGCGCCCCCTTAGGGTCGGCGCCCGGTCATCCGGCCCACCCTCTCTACCCTAGCTGAGCCACTGTATTGTTTGGGGGCGAGTTGTAGGCACGGCACCTTCGGGACGTAAATACATGATTCGTTACACTAACTAGCGTACCGGTCTGCAATATGGACAGATATACCCTTGCTTTGCGTGCATCCCAATCTCTAGCCTACAATTACACAAAATAACAGTATGGACTTTATTACTAATACAGTTAGGTGGGTCGTATCAACTTGACAATGGACAATTGACGAAAAATGTTGCCAAAAAACCTAAAAGACATTACAACACACATACATTCATTTTCTTTCAGAGTGAATGTAATCGAAATTATATATACTTTGACCCTAAAAAATTGTATCAGAGCTGTGCAATTTTCCTAAATACAACCAGAATTTTCTACAAATTGATGAACGCAAGTGAACAATTTTCTATAGACTGAAGAACTGGAATGGTCTAGTGGTGGAATATCATTTTTATAGAAAAAAAATGAGACCCATCTAATTGTATTTTTTTAAATTTTGCTTTTAATCATGACTTCTATAGGGCAGGTGAAATAGGGTGTTCATATTTTTTGACATCGCCTTGTGAACTTTTATGGCTAGTTCTGATACCCATTTCATTAAACTTTTAAATTTCAAATAATTTTAAATGTTTTAGTCAGATTTGTAAAAATTGTTTATATTAAAGTTTACAAATCTATAGAGTATAGGTTTAAAGCTTCTCAAAAGCGTTTCAATTTTACTTATAAGCTATAAATTAAATGCTGTATTACAACTGTATCATCATACTACCACTTTAAAAACTTGACATGTATATGCCTTAAAGATTTTTTTTTTTTTGGCTAAATTATATTTCTTCCCTTATCTAAGTTAATACTCTCCCTTTAAAACTGTAATTTATCCCAGTAATATACACGATGCTTAACTCACTAAAAAAACTGTCCTCGCAACAACCCTTTTCTAGACCCTCCACGTGAAACATACACTGACAATCTAATACAAAGAGTATTAAAATATAATAACAAGTATTAACCGAGTTGATGGAAATGAAGTCTAAATTAGAATAATTCTCACAATTGCATCTACTCCATGTACGATATTTGTGTATCTGTTCATCTGGTTAAAGAAAAGCTACTTTGTGTAGACTAAATTTACAAATGGTCTCACGACAAATGATATTATGAAGATATTTCGATATCTCACATGTCAAACAAATAAAATACTAGTTGTACCTGGGCATTTGAGGTGTGTTAATGTGTACAATTTTATTTAAATGTCTAATAGCGAATTTAGTTAACGAAGCACAATCAATGACGCCAGACTACACGCATATCAGGGACGGGAGTGTAAACACGTGCATTGTAGTAGAGCAAATTACGATCACTTGGAAGAATTATCACAAGATTTATTGGATTCGCGTGGTGTTTGATTCTTCAAGTAAGTGAATCTTTTATTTTTACTTTTAATTCTTCTAGTTTATATGTTTTGTGAAATTAAATATATACAAAATGTATTTGCTGACATAGTATTACCGCTACCGCAAAAAAGACCACTTTCAGCTTCCCTTCTACCCAAACAAGATATATAAGTAAAATATTAATTTATATAAATATGAATAGATACTTATAACACTGAAGTCAATATTAAAGGAGTTTTTTTTTTAATTTTAACGGTGCAGGCCCATAACGGATTAAAGTTTGAAAACATAAAATACAACAGAGTTGGTAAGTAGGTCAACAACCAGTTCTATGGCACATACAGTTTTTATTGAGCCGTAGAACTGGTTGGTGACCTACTTACCAGTCCTATCGTATGTTTATTATATCGGATTAATGTGAGCAATCTATTATGTGTCATGTAGGGGCTACCTTAGAATATTCTAGAGCTCAAGGGATAATGCGTGTGTGAGTTGAGTTAACCTCGAGTCGCTAGTGAATGTTTATCCCAAGGTTGGGTGTTGGTATAAAACAATAATAGAGGGTTGTTGACAGCAGGAAGTTGTGTATGAAACCATGACAATACGTGGGGAAAAATCATTGTTTTCTCTGTTTTGATCTCAGTATTTACCTGTTTGAGTGGACCCACCCATTTTTCAAATTTTCAGCATTAATACGAATGAATATGTAAAATTACTCTTTTTTTTTATTATTAAACGCGGTTAGAAAAGTCAAATGACAAACATGAGTTTACTAAACTTGCAATAACAGTATACATTCATTTTAAAAAGTAGTGTGTTTTTTTTAAATATTAGTTTATCAGGTAACCTGGGTGACCATTGGGGTACTCGGGGCTCACACGCGTGCCCTACTGCTGGGGTGCCCACTAGTGCCCTACTGCTGTGGCGCCCACCCTTGCCCTACTGCTGGGCGCCCACTAGTGCCCTACTGCTGGGGCGCCCAATCTTGCACATCTTCTGGGGCGTCCACCGTGCACTACTGCTGGGGAGCTAGGTACGCCCCTTGTTAGGGTTTAGTTAGGTAAAACAATTGCCCGCTGTATCCCGAGTGTACATGCTCTTTGAAACGATTGTAGGCGCTTTAGTGTTGTTAATCTTTATTGTTGTTCTGGAGGCTCCGAGTCTCGCGTTTGCCGAGAAACAGGATCAATAACCTAGTCCAATTTGACCATTGAATCAAGTAGTACCAATGACCCCCTATTAACTAGTCCAATTTGACCATTGAATCAGGTAGTACCAATGACTCCATATTAACTAGTCCAATTTGACCATTGAATCAAGTAGTACCAATGACCCCCTATTAACTAGTCCAATTTGACCATTGAATCAAGTAGTACCAATGACCCCCTATTAACTAGTCCAATTTGACCATTGAATCAAGTAGTACCAATGACCCCCTATTAAGGAGACCTAAGCAGCTGACAAACGTATTACAATCTACAGGTAAAGGAAATGTCTCGCTGGTGTTTAAAAGCGGGCGTGCTATCGTTGGCTGCAAGTACACCATTGTACATGATTTTAATGATAGAACAACTGACGTCTATTTTAATTTGATTGACCTAATCAATGTTGTAGAAATTACGCTGGAGAGCCCAAGGAAAGTGTGTGAAGTCTTCGTCAGTGGAGGTGAGGTGTACAGAGATTTATATTTATATAAAACATTTTTAAAATAATTTCTTTCTTCTGCCAATATGTTTTATCTTATTTTGTAGATTGTAGTGACTTGACTTAGTCCTATCTGCTCCTTATGGAACATAAGTCCTCTACCATTTCCTTCCATTTCATCCGATCCCCGGCTATTAACTTGTTGGTTTCAGTTCTTCGAGAAGTCTCGGCCTCCACGTCTGTCTTGGGCGCCATCTCTTCCGCTTTCCTTGGGGGTTCCACTTGGCGTATCACATTTGGGTGAGCCTTTTGCAGCGTGTGTCCTACCTAGTGCCACTTCTTCCTTCTTATTTGCGCTGTCTCAGGTTGTCATAAAGGTCTATTTGTTGATTTTATATCATTTTATAGGTCGACTTGTAGGCTTTTAACTTATATTATAGGTCGTAAACGTAAGTTAAAATGCCACTTCCAAACGGTCTATAGGGCAAGAAAATTAGAGTTCACCTGCTTCTGTGTCCACAGAAGGGCAGCGGTCTTAACTTTCCCTAGCGTGAGTTAGATACCGATCAGAGCTAAATGGACTCAGGTACGGTCTACTGACTTGAACACGGATTCAAACTCGAGACTTACGGGTTAGCAGTCTAGCTCTCTACCGCTAGGCCATTCCGTCCCTTTTTAAAGGTCGTAGAGTAGCTTTACTTGTATTCTATAGGTCGGAATACAGCTTTTTTTTTCTCTTTTTTACTTTCTCGTATATACGTAGTAGGTATAGAGAAAGTATTGTAATCGTGCAAAAAAAAAATCGAGATTTTCACAAATCTCGACGTTTTACACCACACTAATACGGAAAAACATCATTTTGCAATCTTGTCAGTATGTCTGTGTGTGTGTGTGTCTGTGTGTCTGTGTGTCCAAGTGTAAACACGATTACTTGAGTACCGTTACAGCTAGGTTGATGAAATTTCATATATAAGTATTTTATCAAAATCGTAGATCCGTATCAACTTTTGAGCGAATTCCGATAACCGGAAGTGGTACTTTTTCTACTTTGAATTTTTCAAAAGCCTATAACTTGAGTACTATTTCAGATAGATATATGAAATTTGATATGTAAGTAAAAGATCTAATTCTTTACCTTCTGTCAAATTTTGAGTAATTTACGTTGACCGGAAGTAATAATTTACGCTACTTCCGATTTCTCAAAAAACTAATGTAAATTTTAAAAGTACTAATAATATTGCGCACTATTATGCGCTTTTTTATTTGGCGTTCACTTGGTGTGCAATTAATTTGTCTACGAGATTTTATTCTATTTTTAAAACTTTAAGTATTTAAAATGGATTAAAAATCATGTCTATAGCCCGAGTTCCCATCCCCTGTTATTTTATATAAGAATATTCGAGAAAGTTTAGGGGAGATCATTCCCGGTTTATTTGCAGGTCGCAACGTCGCTTTGAAGCAACAGACAGCGCAAATCAACACCCACCGTTGGCATAGATCGGAAAAAGCAGTCGATGGTGACAGATCCAATCAAATAATACAGAACTCTTGCACTCACACGGAAGAAGACATAGAACCAAACACAAAGCAGTATTGGACTATTACGTTCAGTAGAGACGTGTTTATTCAAAGATTCAAAATATTCAACAGAGGTGGGAAAAATGTACTATAATGTGACTATAAGATTCTTGATAAAATACATTACAGTTTTAGTGTAGGTTTATGAAAATATACTTTTATTAAAGGGTATAATATAAGCACATTTAATTTAACTAACGGATAGTGTGATAGCAAATACTGATATATGTAATGTTTACGGTTTATGTGATCGTGCTGAAAAGTGATAATAACAGAGACAGCATGACAATTTAAGGCTAGATGGTAATTAAGTAAAGTAGAATAGGCCAGAGAAGAGTATTTACTATGCGATTAGTTTTAATTTGGCGCCCCACCCCATATATATATATATATATATATATATATATATATATATATATATATATATATATATATATATGTACATATTATTTATATACATATATATATTTGTATAAATACATACATACATAAATATATATATATATATATATATATATATATATATATATATATATATATATATATATATATATATATATATATATATGTGTGTGTGTGTGTGTGTTTGTGTGTGTTTGTGTGTGTGTGTTTAATAATCATGGTGTATTATTTTCGTTCCTTAAAACTTTATTCGACGCCAATTAACTCAGTTCGAGTTCAGATTCCTGTCTGGCTAATATGGGTACCTGAATCACGGTAGCGAGACAACATTACCTGGGGTAGTGCTGACCTCACTATCCCACAGTATGCTGAGGTTTTTGAAAAAGATATCCTCAACTTCAGCTTCCTTTAGCACAAGCAGACACGATAATGTATAGCGAAATTATGAAGCGGCCAGCGGAGAATTATTTAGCAGACTAAAGTAGATGATAGTTGGACGGTAAAAAGAATCACAAAAAGTTGGTTTTAATTTTCTCCCTCATCAAAGACAGAAAAGTTCTTGTATGTTGAATATTGCCAATAAATTTTGCAATTTTATTTTATGTGTTCCCGTAGTCGCACTCGAAGCTAGATATACCACAATTAATAGCTATAGTGTACTATATGGAATATTTATACCATATACACAAATGTAGCTTAAAGCTCGGGTATTAAATATAAAATACATCTGGCGTCCTTCTCATAACACTAGTTAACGGCCCGTTGAGGGAGAAATACAACGGACAATAGGTTGATAATGTTGTCTTATTCTCTAAACTAAAACAAAAAATAAATTCCCCATATCAACTGCAAATTGAAATGGAAAGATAAAATTAATTTAAAACTAATTTTATCCAGATTTGAAATTTATGCAAGATCCGGAAATTTAGTGGGATACTTAACTCCAGTTAGAAAAACAAACTGGAGAAATTAACCGAAAACGGGGGAGGGGGAAGGTTAACACTGGTAAAAGTAAATATTTTATATGTATTTTATAAACATTCTTTTTTCGTTCTTGAAGGGGTTGAAGGGGCTATGGACGTGTTGCTGTATTGATGTAGATGACGTGTATTTTCAGCAGTTATTTCACCACCCCCCAGCCCAGAAGTTTTAGTTTGCTCACCTTCTAAAAATGACACACTATATTATTTTTTAATTGTAAGAATGGTGTGCTTACATATTGGATAAAACTTTACGTATTTGAGAGAAAAAGGGATGATAAAATTGTCTTGATTTCAGTTGATATTCCAGAACGATTGGCTGGCTTTTTCTTAGAAGCATTCAACTCAACTAAAGACATTCCGGTTTACAGTTTTCACGACACTAGTACAAAAACTGACACTTTAGTTTATGACTGGGCTATACAGATGTTTGTTGCCAACAGAGTGACAATTTATTTACTTGACAACATCTTGACGCTGTGTGAAGTGGAGATTTATGGAGGTATTTTTAGTTTTCTCTTTTATAGAATATTTGATTAAAAAATATTGGATGCCACAGGATTCCATACATTACGTTCTGTAAAAACAGTCCTATTTAGGATAATTTTTACAAGCTTTTTGTTTAAATTCCTTTCTCTGTCTATGGTCAGTCTGTCGACAGTCTGTCTATGATCTATCTGTCGTAATAGATCGAAACGCTCCAGCAAAATTTTTGGCACTTCTTACAGACAGATTACATGCAAAGTTGGCACATAGGTCAAGACATGAAGACAATGCAATTGACATTTAATTGAAATTAATAGAATGCCTAGTTAATTTTTTAATGAGTTAATTTAAATTGTGTCCAAATTAGTAGGCAGGCTTATCTAACTATTCCGCACTATTATACGCGCGTTATCGTGTTCATTAGGTGCGTAATAGTTTTTAGTCATTGTAAATTTAAAAAAAAAATTAAAGTACGGAATTTTTTAAAATAAGAAACGTTTTAATATCAAGCTTGTATGTAATAATTCACTTTCTTTAAATATATAATAATACACTACTTTTTAAATAACTATAAATAAAATGCATTTAATATATAATATAGTGACCCGCACTTTTTTAACAGTAATAGTAGTGTATTAGTAGTGTATTATTAATTATTAATAATTTATTTGCTTCATTTAGTACATTATTACATAAATGCTTGTTATTGAAACGTTTTTATGAATTAAAAACGATATAGATTTATATATTTTGTGTGATTAATAAATCATACAAAATTTATTCCAATATATTTACATGCGATGAAGCGATTCCATTATCATAAGAATAACTTTCAACCTAATAAAACTGGAAAATAAACTATGATAACAAAACTAATAAAACACAACAGATCTATTTTTAACTCGACAATAAAAGGTAAAATAACTTTAAATTTAGTTTACTTTATCCATTGTAAAATAAAAATATTTTGTATTTCTCTAACTTGTATGATATTTTGAAATATGAATATTTATAAAAACTTTACTCTATATTCAAAATATATCTATATTCAAAATTATCTTGTTGACTTTATGGAAGATTAAACTTATATAAGCAAAATGACAATAAATACAAATAAAATCATCATATATCGACATTTTTATTTTTAGGTTTTATGAGTACCTTTTTGTCTATAAAACCTAAAATTGACCGGTTGAAATTTAATTTTTAAAAAATCTCTCGGATAGCTAGGGTCATTTACTCCTCAAACCGTCTGTTGAATGTCTATTTAATGTTTTAAATACGCTTTTGCATCGCGTGAACTTGTCGAAAGGAGTTTCGCTAAGCTTTAGCTAATGTGTTCAGTATACATTAATTACATACTTGCGACGCAGTAAAATATGCTTCAATAAACACTCTTTAGCGTTAAGGTATTAATAGCAGAAAAAATTGTTAAATATCTAAGGCCTTGATAGAAAGGAAAACTAGACCAAGTAAAATTTCCAAAAATAATTTATGACATTCTGCTTAAACTACAGTGGGATATCGCTGTAGTATTACGATTACTATATTTCCGAGATAACTTTTGTAGTGGACAAAATTACGGCCTGAACTGTGAACATACCTGCCAATGTACAGACTCTAAATCCTCCTGTATGCCGTCGACAGGCGTCTGCCGTACAGGTGGTTGTACCCCTGGATATAAGGGCAAAGACTGCGAGGAAGGTAGTTAAAGGAATGATAATGAAGATTAAATTAAATCGTCTATATTTGAAGACAGATCAGTACATATTTAAATAGGGGATCACATTTATTCAATTTGCAATGAATTTTTTTTTATAATCCAAATTGTTATCATTCTACTTGCATTTTGATATATGCACTATATCAAGGCTTGTGCAAATGTCTACATAATAATTTGTAGAATTTTTATAATTTTTAAAAAAAATTACAGAAATAAAATGTAACAAACCTACCGTACCTAAGGGAACGTGGGGTATTTGCCCAGGTGGTTATAATAGTGTGTGTACCTTGTCTTGTGAAGAGGGTTACGAAGTGGAAGGAAACAAACAGATCACATGCCAACGAAACGAAATGTGGACTGTGCCTGGCGTATGCAAAAGTAATATGTTGTTTGTTTTAGAAATACACACTAATATTTGAAATAAGGTTAAAATTACTAAACTTTATAAGTATTACAGAAATTATATAGTTATTTCTTTATTTTCAACTTTTCTTCTTGAAAGGCATCATTAAAATATTTTACTTCACTAATAATAATTTTACTTAGTGTACATGTTTGTTAGTAACATTCTTATAGTCCTTACAGCTTTATAAATATTTCCTGATAATTTAAAAAAAGCTTTGGATATTATCAATGCTCCAAAAGTTTAGTAAATGTTTACTTAAAAGAGAAAAGATGTAGCGCTGCTCCCAACATTACAAAAGGGGCATGGCATAATTGTCAAAACGAGTTGCGTAGCGTGTGTACACTGGTCTGTGAAGATGGTTACGAAGTTAAAGGGAACGACAACATCACCTGCCAAGCTAATCAAGAGTGGACAATGCCTGGTGTGTGCTCAAGTAAGCATTCATTCAATTTGAGATTTATATTTAAGAAAATAAAATAAAAATGAAAACAAAAACAAAAACAAAAACAAAAACATGCACTTCTACTATGATGTATATGCAAGATAAATCATTTCTGTATGAAAAATAATGAATACAAAAACATAAACTTCTACTATTATGTATGTGGTAGATTCATTATTTCTGCATTTTATGGCAGGAGTTAAAATCACCAGATTTTTTTTTGACAATAACATGAAAAATAATGAAAACAAATACATAAACTTCTATTAGAGGTGTAGCGAGGGCGGGGCGGGGGGGGGGGGGGAAGAGGGGGTGGGGGGTGGGTGGGTGCGGACCGAACCGGGTGACACAATTAAGGGAGTGACAACATGGCAAAAAATAGCAAAATTGACAGAAGGAGAATGCTTTTTGCCCGTTGCATTAAAGATTTATTATGCAGCATATATTGAAATTATAAGCTTATGTAGGTCGATACACACAGACGAAAAGACGCACCGGGTGACACTCAACCTAGCGACGCCATTGACTTCAGGAAATAAATTTCTTTCATTATTCTCACAGCAGCGGTTGGCGTGGTCGAGTCGGTAAAGCTCATGGTTACTAAACCGAAAAGTCTCGAGTTCGAACCCTCCGGTATATGAGGCTCATTAGCTCCTAAATCAAACAACTGCTGCCTAGTAATTGATTGGACAAAGGCTATTGAATAAAATTCAAAATAAAAACAGGCTGAAATCAGAGTCAATGGCCTCAATGGCGCATAACCGGTTTATACGTATACTTAAATGTGTTGAGGGGGTCTCTTCCAACACTAAAAAATTAAGAACGATGCAGAAAGAAGAAGTTCTCACAGCTACTATTTCAAAATGGGTAAAACCCTTTTGGGACAAAGCATGTATCGCGAATGCACAGCGTACCTGTGAAATATTGTAGTAGTACTTCATTTACCTTTTTTGTTTTCAATTTAATATTCGCCGTAGAGGCTT